TTAACCCATAAGGTGGGTGTGATGGGAGGCGGGGTCTAGGCAGGATCAACCCATAAGGTGGGTGTGATGGAAGGCGGTGTCTAGGCTGGATCAACCCATAAGATGGGTGTGATGGAAGGCGGGTCTAGGCTGGATCAACCCATAAGGTGGGTGTGATGGGAGGCAGGGTCTAGGCTGGATCAACCCATAAAGGTGGGTGTGATGGGAGGCGGGGTCTAGGCAGGATCAACCGGTAATGTTGGCATGATGGGCCATCCCTGCATATATAGAGGCAGAGACTAGGCAGGGCCAACCCATAAAGTGGATGTGATGAGAAGCCCTCATATATTTATTAGCAAGGTGTGGGCGGAACAAACCCATAAAGTAGGTGTGATATAGACACGTCCACCCAGAAAGTGAGCGGCCAAAATACAGACCGTGGGCAGGGCATTTCCCAGGGGCGGGGCATTTCCCAGGATCGGGGACTATAATGTTGAAAGGTATGTTGGTACAGGCACAGCAATTTATGTGTCTACATTTCCACAACAGAAAAACAAAAAAAATTTTTTTTTTAAAATACTTATTAGTAACAATGGGATACTTCAAGAGCCTGTCCAGCCATAAACATTAGAAAACAACAAGAGAAGTTTACAAGGAGGCCCGGCCGTCTGCCCGACCTCACAGTGCAGCTACTGATCAGGAAACTTTGTACCGAAACACGTCTGACCTTTATAACATAGAACCGCAAAAGAAATTTATATTCAGAATTCCCCGTACCGCCATTGTGAACAGAAGACACGGATCATACGAAATCGTACAAATGACACTTTGTAGTGGTCGGGCTGATCCCAATTATCTGGATTAATAAGAACAAGTTTGTTAATTAAAATCTCTCTTTATTATTTAACTTTTTTTTTTTTTTTTTCCAAGAATGAAACCCATCGAGTGTAGTTTTGTCTTCCTGTCACTGCACAACAACTTCTCGCTATACACGTGTCACCACATCAGCGCAGTTCCGACGGGACTCTGATACAACCATGGTGCTGGTCCCCGTGTTCTGCCCTAATAAAATAGCCCGGCAGTCCCTCCATATCCCGCACTAGCAGTCTGACCTAAAACATCTCCAGCTCTGTTAGATTGCAACTCCCCTGGTGATATCCGGATCTCGCGAGTTTCTTTTTTTTTTTCTTTTCAGTGTGTGTTTATTATTTGATATGTCTCGGCTGCAACAACTTTAATGGACTTTGTAAACATTTATATTAATGGTAAGGGGTGTTTTTACAAAAAGATTTGTCCTGTGAACTGCATGGTACATCCTTTATGTGCAAATAGAGGGGAAAAAAAAAATCAGATGTTATTGGGCTATTTTCTCTCCAGGTTAAAATATTCATTCATCCATAATAGGGTAAATCAGGAAAATACCTCATTGTGGCCACTGGATGGAGCTAATGATCATTTAACATAAATTGATTTCCTATGATCACAAGCACCTGATTCACTCTATTCTGTATGAATGAATAACATTCAACCTGGAGAGAAAATAGCCTAATAACATTAGATTTTGCCCCCATTCACACAAAAGGGACGCAAGTGCAGTTTTAAAGGATGAATACTGTAACTCTACAATTTTTTTTTTATAATGAATATTTTAAACCTGTCTGTATTTATTTTTGTTGGGTGATCTCCAACCTGCAACCTGCTGACACTTCAAGTCTCGCTGTGCTCAGTCTGATATCAGATCGGCACGCGGTAATTGTAATTATAAGAATCTGCAAAAGGAGGGAAATATAGAAATCAGGAAAAAAAAAAATAGGATTTTTGTTTTTGGCGGTCAAACTTTACAGCTGTACCAGACAGACTTCAGGTGGTTGCATTACCTTCTAGTGTTTGTGTCTCAGCACCCTCAGCCAATGGATAGCCAACGAACATCTGCCTGGATCGCACTTCCTGCAATGTCTGGCCGCCAAGGACCATTGCAAGTGCAATACCTACCTTAGAAAAAAGGAGGGTACGCCCTACAGTGACTCAACAGATGGTGGCAGTGTTTCGGCATCACTACTCACACCAGAGTAGTGCATTACTGAGCACTGTGGTGCGCACACATCCATTGGTAAGATGCATTGGCGTGCCATTAAGGCGCAATTCACACTTGGCGTTTCTGGGAAACGCGACAAAGCGCACAGAAAACATGCATTTTGCCACACGTTTCAAAAACATGCTACAAACATGCACTGCGCTTGAAGTGCCAATAATTGTTAATGGTACCCCAAATGTGGTAGGCAGCCATGCGTTTTGTCATTCACCAAAATGCGCAGTGAATAAACCACACCATGCTCAGCTCCAAAAAAAGGTTTTAGGAGCTTCTTCGGGGCATTTGTCGGGCACAGGGCAGTTCAATCAAGTGAATGGGCTGCCCTATACATGATGAGTGTAAACAATCCAAAACGCGAGCAGGAACGTGCGTTCCCCCACGTTCCGGGCCTAAGAATGAATGGCACCGCTTCACATCAATGCGCAAAAGGCGTGTTGCAGTAACATGCACACTAACGCATTTTCAGCAAGAACAGAAAATACCTGTTGATCCTGCCAGAAATGCCATGTCCTTGTCATCTCCTGTAAGCTGAACTGAATCTACAAGCAATGTTATCTTTCTCCTGTAAACCACCAATCCCCTCTTAGCCAATGTAATGAAGAGGAACAAAGGCAGCCATGTTTGCAGTCCAGCCTGGGTGACATCCCTCCCATTTTTTTGTTCCACAAATGGGACTTTAAAAGGCACTAAAATTATGCAAGTTTATAAAAATACTTTTTTGATATTTTATTATACAAAATACATCTAAAATCATAACAACACATCACAGCTTATATCACAATGTTGTAAAACAGCACTACCAGGGGCGGACTGACCAATTGGAAACTCGGGCACTGCCCGAGAGCCCGGGGTCAGTAAGGGGCCCCATGAGATGCCCCTGGTACCTTTTTCATGCTTTTTTCAGTTTGGGGAAGGACACAGGGGCCCCATGATCCCCTATTGCCCGGGGGCCCCATGAGTTGTCAGTCCGCCCCTGAGCACTACATAACATTGCCCGAAGTTTACTACAGATAAATTACGTGTCGCCACTGATCCGACGCATTTCAGAGATTTATCAATGGAGACACATTTATCTTTAGTAAACTTTGGACAATGTTATGTAAAATGTTTTTTGTTAGAAACTTACGTAGTTTTATTGCCTTTAAATACTCTTTTGGGGAACAAGAAAACCTTTTGGCTATACTTTGAGGATGTGGCACACATAAGAGTACACCCACTATTCATTTTTAGCTCCTTCCATAAATACAACGGGGGGGGGAGTGAGCGAAGCCACTTACACGCAAGAGGCGTGTAGTTCACATGACAAACGTGAACAAGATAAAAAGAAAAGCAGCCACATCATCCAAGCACTAGTGAGCTGCAATATATTACATTTTTGTTATGGGGAGACCACACTCCAGCCCTATCCTCTTGCGTTGTCATCCTGCCATGTATGCCACCTGCTGGAAACTAAAGGTGTCTGCGCCCACATATTTCGCACACAGGCATGATCTTCCCCCTTGTGAAAAGCTGGACCAGAACAATGATGTGCAGATGATGCTGGTGTGAGGGCGTATAAACGGGAAGTGGCTGAAAAGAGGGTGGAGGAGATCAGCAGCACTGAAAAGTAAAAAAAAAAAAAAAAAAAAAAAAAAAGAAAGGAATTTTAAGAATTAAAAAAATCAAAAGGGCAACTATTTATTGTACACAGTGCTTTAGCAACTAAATGTCATCCAGTTAGGTCTACTGTAACAAATGTATAGTATGTTACCCACCAGGGGTGGACTGACAACTCATGGGGCCCCAAGGCAATAGTGGATCATGGGGCCCCTGTGTCCATGCCCAAACTCAAAAAAGCCTATGAAAAAGGTACCGGGGCATCTCATGGGGCCCCCTACTGACCTCCTGCCCTCGGGCAGTGCCCTAGTTTCCAAATGGTCAGTCCGCCCATTACCCACATAATTAAAGTGCGACGTATTGGCGCAGTAGCATCAGAGGGACTTAAATACACCTAAACCTGGCCAGGGCCAGTAGGGCTTTTGGGGCCTTGCCGTTTAGATGCCAATTCAGCCTGATTGTTCCATCATCTCATTGCTTAGGCATTGAAATCGCATCCATGTAAAACGTGAATACATTATTTTGAATGTAATTTGTATTGACGCGAGCAAAACAGCACAGAAATGTGCATCGCCCTAGAAAGAAAATATGATCAAAAATTCAGATCAAATCTCTAAAACCGATACAAAACTGATGTATGGGCGGCCAAATCGCAACTTTTGTATCTTGTGTTGCAGCGGCACACAAGAGCGACATCTAATGGCAGCAACTGGTACTGCAGGAAGAAGTAAAAATGAACCCATTATTATATACAAATTAAAAAATATAGATTTCAATTTTAAAATCTACAATTTAGCTAGCGCAACGTATAGATGGAATCCGCCTGGAATTTTAAATGCTAATTAAATATTGCAATAGACCATTACCTTGCTGCTCAGGGTAAGTTACCTTCTTGCCATTTAGCTCTACCCGCCCCCCGCTTGTTCCTGCTTTTAGACGGATGTACAAAAATAGGACCTGGTTTATCCTGCCCTGATAAGGTGGGGACCATTAATATATAAGTTAGGTATATATTTATATATTATTACATAGGATAGACTGATTATATACATGTAATGAGGTTTTCCTTTTTCTATTTTTTTCTCTCCTTGGTATTCATCGTTTTTTAAAAGCATCACTTTCAGACTCTTTCGCATCCTACGGAAACATTGCAATGCATTGCAAGACCTGTCAGCGCACCAAGGGTTAAAGAGTACATGCACTGTTTTCTGCCATCCAGAGGTCACCATAGTTGCTTGTTGAGGTTAGGAAAGGGGGGGGGGGGGGGGGGAAGGGGGCGGACCTAGACAGTGAAATGACCCGAATTCCGTTAAGCTCCTCCCACTGCGCTCCCCTAGGTTGTCCATAGTTGCATAGCTCGCAGCATTTCATCAAAGGCCTCTGGCGATGGTGGCTGAGAGTTCTGAAACCTGTCCGTCATGCGGCTGTACAGGCTGAAGGATTTTAGCTCCAGCCATATGAATCCGAAGCGGTTGTCGTCAAAGAGGATGAAGAGGCCGGGTGTCCTCTCCGGGCTGCTGAATCCATGGCCGGCTATGAGCCCAGTTCCGTAATAGCTTTAAAAGACAAAACAGAGAATTTTGTTTAAAAAAAAACAAAAAAAAAAACCACACAAAAAAGAAAAACCCACAATGACCAAATATAATTTTTTTTCATGGTTAATCCCTGAAACTCAATCACAACCCCCTGATGAAGCCACGTGACCGACGGCGTAACACGTAGGGGAGGGGCTGCGACGTCACTGATCATTCGTGGACAGCAAGTACACACACAGCATGCTTTGTTGGCTTGCTCAAGACGATTCATTGATTTTTAAAAAAGCGGTTTTTACTCTTATCAGTGCAATTTGGGGACTAAATAAAGTATTTGTGTTTAAAAAGGATAAGGCACTATTTGTGAATTTCTTTGCCACTGAGGATATACCATAAGGAGGAGGAGTAGCTGCATGGGAGAGAGACAACAGAAGGGATATGTGACGGGGAGCCAGCTGAGGGATATCCACCATACATCACACGATGCAATATATATATATCTTATATGTTCCTCTTAGTGAACAAAAGCGCAGTTAGCCTATTATAGGCTACCAAGGAGGTGAGCGTACATCTAAACCATACTAAGGAAGTCACTGGAATATATCATTTCACTTGAAACACTGGGAGTTGTCACTTTTATTGATTAGAGACTTTTTTCACTATATGATTGTATTGGAAGTCATGTTATATATTTTGATCACAGTGGTTATTTTTATATATTTTTTTGACCGATTTGGAAATTTAATTTATCTTTGAATGTTATATGATTATAATATTACTTAGATTAGGGGCACAACATCTTTTTATTTATTTTTTTAATCCCTGATCTGCCTTAGGAGCCTATATTAAAAAATTACCTGACAACCGAAGAAAAAAAAATAAAATAAAAATCCTTTATTTTATAATCAGATGTTCAGTAATCTTCCTATTCACTCATCTAAGCACTGATGAAGAGGAGCCTTGAGTTCCGGATCATGGTGGCTTTTTCTTGTGACCTTGTATACATAGCAGGGTGACTACACAAACTATATCTATGGTGCTTTCACCCCCCCCCCCCCCACACACACACACACACACACAATCTACTACGGAAACTCCTAAGGATATTCTGGCTGATAATAGAGAACGACCTTGAAATTTTTCTCCAGTTTTGGGTCTCTACTGCACCTGTGAAGGATAAACCAGGGAATGCACTGCCAACTGAGAGCACTGGGACCTTGGGTGTTATGGGCTGAATGAAACCCAAGGATACAACTGGGAACATGGAGAGATCTTCTCTAACAACCCGGGTCTAATATAGAAAGGTAAAGTGAGCCCGCAGATAGATTTTAATGTAATTTTTACACATTTTGGGAAGACTTGCATGCTTATAGAGCTTGAAAATAATACACACAGTGCATCCAGAAAGTATTCACAGCGCTTAACTTTTGCCACATTTTGTTATGTTACAGCCTTATTCCAAAATGGACTAAATTAATTTTTTTCCTCAACATTCTACAAACAATACCCCATAATGACAACGTGAAAGAAGTTCCTTTTGAAATCTTTGCAATTTATTAAAAAAAACAAGAAAAAAAACAAGAAAAAAAAACAAAAACACATGTACATAAGTATTCACAGCCTTTGCCATGACACTCAAAATTGAGCTCTGGTGCATCTTGTTCCCACTGATCATCCTTTAGATGTTTCCACAACTTGATTGGAGTCCACCTGTGGGAGATTCAGTTGATTGGACATGATTAGGAAAGGCATAAACCTGTCTATATAAGGTCCCACAGTTAACAGTGCATGTCGGAGCACAAACCAAGCCATGAAGTCCAAGGAATTGTCCGTAGACCTCTGAAAAAGGATGGTATTAAGGCACAGATTTGGGGAAGGGTACAGAAAAACTTCTGCAGCATTGAAAGGTCCCAATGAGCACAGTGGCCTCCATCATCCGTAAATGGAAGAAGTTTGGAACCACCAGGAATCTTCCTAGAGCGGGCCACCCGGCCACAATGAGCGATCAAGGGAGAAGGGCCTTAGTCAGGGAGGTAACCAAGCACCCCATGGTAATTCTGAAAGAGCTCCGGCGTTTCTCTGTGGAGAGAGGAGAACCTTCCAGAAGAACAACCATTTCTGTAGCACTCCACCAATCAGGCCTGTATGGTAGAGTGGCCAGACGGAAGCCACTCCTCATTAAAAGGCAAATGGCAGCCCACCTGGAGTTTGTAAAAGGCACCTGAGGGACTCTCAGACCATGAGAAACGAAGCTCTCTGGTCTGATGAAACAAAGAACTCTTTGGCCTGAATGCCAAGCGTCATGTCTGGAGGAAACCAGGCACCGCTCTCCACCAGGCCAATACCATCCCTACAGTGAAGCATGGTGTTGGCAGCATCATGCTGTGGGGATGTTTTTGAGCAGCAGGAACTGAGAGACTAGTCAGGATTGAAGGAAAAATTAATGCAGCAATGTATAGAGACATCCTTGATGAAAACCTGTTCCAGAGCGCTCTGGACCTTAGACTGGGGCGACGGTTAATCTTTCAACATAACAACGACCCTAAGCACACAGCCCACATAACAAAGGAGTGGCTATGGGCCAACTCTGTGAATGTCCTGGAGTGGCCCAGCCAGAGCCCAGACTTGAACCCGATTGAACATGTCTGGAAAGATCTGAAAATGGCTGTGCACTGACGCTCCCCATCCAACCTGATGGAGGTTGAGAGGTACTGCAAAGAACAATGGGAGAAATTGCCCAAATATAGGTGTGCAAGGCTTGTAGCATCATACTCAAAACGACTTGAGGCTGTAATTGTGTTGTGTTAAAGGTACATCCACAAAGTATTGAGCAAAGGCTGTGAATACTTATGTACATGTGTGATGCGGAAAAAAATTAATTTAATCCTGTAACAGGACTCACTTTTAGTGGGGGCCCAACGGAACCCAGCGTACTTTGGAGAAGTAGGGAGACCCCTGTCTAAGGTCCCCATATCCTTATTATGTGTAAGTCACTCTGTGCCTGTTAGGGGTACAGGGTGATCTGTCCTAATATTGTATAGACATGTATAGGTGGGGTGGGGGGTTGTTGATTGTTTAATGCCATGTACTTGCATCCTATTGTTCTATTGTGTTTTGCTTGGGAGAAAACTATTATGGGATGTATCTGTTTATGTGTATTAGCTTAGTGGGGGGTGTCTCCAGCAGCCCTCCCTCCTGATGGGACTGTCTGCTGGTATGAAGTTTAAATACCTGTGTGTCTCTTGTTGCTAAGTGTAGATTGCCCCGCCCTGTGTCATTATGCAGGGGGGGGGGGATTGTTCCCTTAGTGTATAAAAAGCCAGTTCGAGTTTCAAATAAAGAGTTCCATGTTCAGACAGCGTGGTATTGTCTAGTCTTGTATGGTCTGCTGTGGTGTCTGTTGTCGATGTTCGGATGGGAAAGCGGTATTCTAACGGAAGTACCCAAGCGCAGACTGGGGTCGGTTCCGTTACAAGTCTATTTTGGAATATGGCTTTAACATAACAAAATGTGGCAAAATTTAAGCGCTGTGAATACTTTCTGGATGCACTGTATAGAACAGTTATATCTGGATGTATACAGGGCTTTTTTTCCCTCAACGAATAGGTGCAGGAACTCCTCCATTCTGAATCACGTCTTACACCTTCCCCCTACCTACTTCTGAGCACAGTCCCAGTACTGCTCCTTATAGAGAATACATAGCCAAGTATCATTTTGTGGTGCTAAGTAATTTGGCAGGAATTTATCAATATTAACAAAAAAATAGTAAACAGTAAAATAGATCCCCTGCAGCCAGCAGCAATAGACCCCACAAGCAACAAATGCTACCCAAGCAACAACACACCAGGAGCAACAACAGTTCTCCCAGCAGCCAGCATCAGTACACTCCCCAGCAGCCAGCAACAATAGATGCTTCCTCAAAACTAGATCTCTTTCAGGAAATAGATCCCCCACCAGCCACAATAGACCTCCCTAGCAACTATAGACCACCATACAAAAATAGATCCCCTCCAGTGAGAATAGATTCCTCAGCACCCAGCATCAATAGACCTTACAGTACAGCCAGCATCTCGAGATTACATTCAGTGCTGGATGTGCCGGAATTGCGTTCCCCTACGTTCCTGCTGAAAAAAACCCCTGGATGTATATAACTCTGCTGGACAACTTTTGAATGACCCCCATTCCTTGACATATTCGGGTTCTTCCATCAGCATATCATATCTATATGAGCTTGTTGGATACCCCATTCCAATTCCATGCCTTCCCCGCTGCACCACCCTTACTCTTAATATGGAGTTTGCATACACCATGGCCATTAATATGGAGTTGCCCTTCGCCATGGCCATTAATATGGAGTTGCCCTTCGCCATGGCCATTAATATAGAGTTGCCCTTCGCCATGGCCATTAATATAGAGTTGCCCTTCGCCATGGCCATTAATATAGAGTTGACCCTCACCATGGCCATTAATATAGAGTTGACCCTCACCATGGCCATTAATATAGAGTTGACCCTCACCATGGCCATTAATATAGAGTTGACCCTCACCATGGCCATTAATATAGAGTTGACCCTCACCATGGCCATTAATATAGAGTTGACCCTCACAAAGGCCATTAATATAGAGTTGACCGACACCACGCCCAGTAATATACAGCTGACATCACCATGGCCATGAATATAGATTTGACCCTCAGCTTAGCCATGAATATAGAGCTGACCCTCACAATGGCCATTAATATAGAGTTGACCCTCACCATGGCCATTAACATAGAGGTTACCCTCACCATGGCCATTAACATAGAGCTTACCATCACCATGGCCATTTATATGGTGTTGCCCCGCTTTGTGACCAGAACATCCTCCACTCTTCTTGGAAGGCGTTTACACAAAATTTTTGAGTGCATCTATAGCAATCTGTGCCCATTTGTGAGGTCAGGTACTGATGATGGATGAGAAGACCTGACTCACCATTGGTGTTTCCAATACTTCCAAAGGTGTTCAGTCGAGTTAAGGTCAGGACTTTGTGCAGGACACTCCAGTTGCTCCACACCAAACTGGTCAAACCATGTCTTTATGGAATTGGCTTTGTACACAGGGGAATAATAATGCAGAAGAACAGAAATAGCTCTTCTCCGAACTGGAAGAGCACAATTTTCTAAAATGCCATTGTATGACGTATTAACTGTACACTTCACTGGAAACACCCAAGTTCCAGCATGGAGGTGGAGGTGCACATACTTTGGCCATGTATTGTACAAGTGCACTCAGCTAATAAAAGTACACATGTTTTGGGATTTGTCTAAAAAAACTGAGGTGCCTTGGAATGTCAGAACATGGAACCACCCTCTAATATCAATGACCAGATCACCTCGGACAGTCTACATTTCCCACATCCCCCCAATTTGTGTCTGCTTATCTCATGTACCCCGTTTCACTTCATTCATGATGAAACTGAGCCACGGTACCCTGATGCTGTGTACCCTTTAGTATGGAGCATGCCCTCACCAAACTCTACAGCTGCGGGGGTAATCTTCATTCCGTGCCATCACCTCCTCCGGGAGGGCAAATGCTTGCAGATCCTGAGGTTGCTGCTCCCCGTTTTCGCTGGCGTCGAGTCCATTGGCGGCGCTCTCTTCCGCACTGGCAACAGGTGATGGTGCCTGTGCAGATTCCACCCTGCTGCTGCTTCCAGCATCCTCCACACCTCCTGCCAGCCGCTGCTCCCTACTGATCAGGTTCCGGATGTCCAAGATGAGTCGCGACAGTTCAGAGAAATTACGTAACTGCTCTATGCTGGGAAGGCGCACCGGTCGGGTCAGGTCTACTTCTAGTGTCGGCTGTCCGGCTGGGACATTGGGATCTCCCTGAATACAAAGAGAACATAATTCATAAAGTATGTCCACACCATTACCGGGCCACTAAACAGATCACAACTATACATGAAAGATTGTGCAATAAACTTTAAATCTGACCTTCAACCTGCCCTTCAGTCTTGCACAGTTATACCGGCTCCTCTCCTGTACAGAAAGTGCTTATTCTGATTTCACTGCACACTCTGAGCTTCTCACAATGTGCATTAGAAGCTGCAGCAAGTCAGAGCCCCACCTCATTTTCTGGATGGAGGACGTGCAGCATCATCTAGCCCAGGGGTGGGCAAACTTTTTGACTTGAGGGCCGCAATGGGTTCATATATTGGACCCGGGGGCCGGACCAAGAGTAGATGAATGATGTGTATGTGTCATCCATAGTAAGTATAGTAATATTCCCCTATAGTAAGCATAGTAATTAATCCCCCATATAGTAATTCATCCCCCAATGTAATTCATCCCCCATATAGTAATTCATCCCCCCATATAGTAATTCATCCCCCCACATAGTAATTCATCCACCCTATAGTAATTCATCCCCCCTATAGTAATTCATCCCCCCACCCTATAGTAATTCATCCCCCATATAGTAATTCATCCCCCATATAGTAATTCATCCCCCATATAGTAATTCATCCCCCCAATAGTAATTCATTCCCCATATTAATTCATCCCCCATATAAGTCCCCAAGTCCCCCCTGTGTCAATTCACTTGCCTTTGCTCCGCGCGTTCCTCTTGCCGTGTTCCCACGCCGTTCCGGTCTTCAGGGCGGACTGTGAGAGGAGCCTAGCTCCCCTCCCCTCACGTTCGTCACGCTCCCCCGCCTACACACATCCTGTCAGCCATCCTGACAGTATCACGCTCCGCGGGCCGGATTAAAAGGTCCGCCGGGCCATATACGGCCCGCGGGCCGTAGTTTGCCCATTGCTGATCTAGCCCTTTCCTCCCTAGTCTGACTGTCCCTGGCCTGCCCCTTTCATTCATTGCACTTCAGTTTTTTCAATCATAGAGGCTCAGCAACACATGTGAGTGTTACCTAGTGTGGTCTGTATGCAAATACAGCCTGTCTAGGAACGCCCACTCCTCCAGACTGACATCCACCCATCAAGGCATGTTAATATTTTAATAACTCCTCCCAAGAGCCAGCCCACTGCTTGCATCAGCACTCTTAAAAAAAAAAAAAAAAAAAAAAAAAAAAAAAAAAACTATTCCAGTATATGTCCCATTGTTTGTGGACGCTATAACTTTTGCGCCAACTAATTAACCATTTCAATACCGGGCAATTTTACACCTTCCTGCCCAGGCCAGTTTTCACGTTTCAGCGCTCTCACACTTTGAATGACAATTGCGCGGTCATACAACATTGTACCCAAACTAAAATTTTATCATTTTCTTCACACAACTAGAGCTTTCTTTTGGTGGTATTTAATCACCGCTGGGGTTTTTATTTTTTGCTAAATTAACAAAAAAAGACCAAAAATTTTTTTTAAAAAACACGTTTTTCTTTGTTTCTGTTATAAAAGTTTTAAAAAAAATAATTGTTCTTCATAAATTTAGGCCGAGATGTATTCTGCTACATGTCTTTGGTGAAAATAACCCAAATTAGGATGTATTATTTAGTTTGTAGGAAAGTTATAGAGTTCACAAACTATGGGATATATCTGAATATTGATCAATCCTGAAGTACTGACAGCCAATCTAATTTCTTGAGGTCCAAGAATGTCAGAACAGTACAGATATCCCCCAAATGACCCCTTTTTGCAGAGTAGACAGTCTGACATACTTCATAAGAGGAATGGCGAGTTTTTTGAAGTTGTATTTTTTTTGTCATAATTTTTCGGAAAATGAAAAAATAAAAAAAAAATTATTTTCACTATTTTTTTTTTTTACATACTGTCACCAGTGCAGTACAGCATCATCATATAACTGGCATGGCGGTGATCAGGACACTGACTGGTGACAGTATGAAAAAAAATTATATATATATAGATTTTTTTATTTTTATTATTTCTAATTTTTTATTACATTTTTTTTTATTTTTTTAAAGATTTTTTTTCATATTTTACTATGACCAAAGTATTACAATGTTACCATAGTAACATTGCACTACTTTGGGGAAGCGATCAGTATTTTTTTTTTTTGTTTTGTTTTTTTACACAATTTGCTTATAGCAAAGAATTACTTTGCAAGCATTTACCTGAATGAAATCGATTCATTCAGGTTTTTTTTTTTTGTGCTTAACTGTGATTTGGCCACAGCTAAATCACATGACATGTGCATGTGACCTGCTGTGACCATTCACAGCTAAGCACTAGTATACAATGGATGGCATGAATGAAGCCATCCATTGTATACAACTGTCATGTGACCTGCTGTGATTGGTCACAGCAGGTCACATGGTACCAGCAACAGGGGCCGGTACTCAGACCTGTCATCGGCCGTGTCCGAGGTACACGGCCGGTGACAGATCACGCTGCTGCGCGGCTCTGCAACCGCGCATGTGCAGGAGGACCCCAAATGGCGTGCACCCGGAAAGCTAGTGCATTTTTGCGGCCGCCAAAGGGCTATAGGCCGGGTGGCAAATGGTTATTATAAGCTTGTTGGGATTTTGGCCTAAATTTATGAAGACATTTGATTTTTAAATTTTTTTTGGATATGTGTTATAACAAAAAACAAAAAATATTGTTTTTTTCAAAGTTGGTAGTCTTTTTTTTGTTTATAACACAAAATGTAAAAACCGCAGAGGTGATCAAATACCATCAAAAGAAAGCTCTATCTGTGGAAAAAAAACAATTACATAAATTTAATGCGGGTACAGTGTAGCACGGCTGCGCAATTATCAGTTAAAGTAACGCAGCGCCGTATCACAAAAAATGGCCTGGTCAGGAAGGGGGATAAATCTTCTGGATGGCAATTGGTTTTAACATTATTATTATTTTATTATAGATTATTAGTATATTAGTTATTTGGATCGTGCTTTGCTGGGGTTTTGCCTTCCTCTGGATCAACTGTGGATACAGGATTATAACTTTTTTTTCCTTCTATGGTTGAACTGGATGGACTTTTGTCTTTTTTTCAGCCAGACTAACTATGTAACTAAGTATAACTATTATAACATATGGTTCCCTCTATCCAACATACAGAGATGAAGAAATTAAATATTGTCTGTGTGTAGCCTGAAACAGGTAAGAAAACAAGCTCCATTCCCAATATTCAACTTATTTACAGAAAAACACATCTGGCTCCTACTCACTGTTATTTTCGTGGCCTTGGCGGTCATCCCATGGAAACTCAGCATGACTATCTCTAGGCCGTGGCTTCCATATGTGCCCTTGAAAAAGCCAGGCTTTACCAGATCATCCGGCCGGCTAGGTGGGTGATATATCCGGCGATAAGTAAGGCAATTGCTGCAAAGAGACACAAAAAGTAAAAGATAGACAGGATAAAGCAGTGCACATAGGTGCCCAGGGCTGGAGGCGTTCAGGAATACAGTGGACCACCTACTTCTTAGACTGAAATGTCCGCTCATATAACACAATCATGTAAACCCTGGTGTCCACGAACGTTTGACACAGATCAGCCTCTGCTTGCTACAAAGTTACATTGCAAAGTCTGATAACTGTGGTAGAGAAGACTGAGAAAATGCTTCTTCCTGCCTGCAGACCTATGACATCATCCCAGCCTAGGCTGAGTGAATGACTGAAACTGAAGGACAAATTTTTAACCACTTGTCTACCAATGCACATATATATATATTATACACACACACTAAAATAAATTATATAAATTGTTTTTTTTTTCTTTATTTAACTTTATTGCTATCACGAGGGGACTAACAAGCCCCCTATGTGATAGCATCATGCAGGTGACAGGTCCTCTTTATGGAGACATTGGGAGTAAAAATAAAAAATGTTTTATTTTTATTTACTTTATATAATTTCTTTACACTTTTTAACTTTATTGCTATCACAAGGGGCAAACAAACCCCCATATGTGATAGCATTGGACAGGTCCCTCTTTATGGTCCTCTAGACCCCCAATGTCTCTATGAAGAGGACCTATCACCTACCCAATGGAATAACATAGGGGGTTTGTTAGCTTATTAGATTACCAATTTTCCAGCTGTCCTCCAATACAGCCAATCAAGCTTCATTAGCTGCATCCTTAGATCCAGTAATGACAGCTGTGGAATCGGAAAGTGGATAATAAATGTCACTTCTTTATTTATTTATTTATTTATTTATTTATTTCAGGTACATCAATTTACACAGCACTTTACATATATATTGTACATTCACATCAGTCCCTAACCCTCAAGGGGCGTACAATCTAAGGTCCCTAACTCACATTCATACATACACATATACTAGGGACAATTTAGACAGGAGCCAATTCACCTACCAGCATGTCTTTGGAGTGTGGGAGCATGTCTTTGTAATGTGGGAGGAAACCAGAGTACCCGGAGGAAACGCACACAGGCACAGGGAGAACATGCAAACTTCAGGCAGGTGGTGCCGTGGTTGGGATTTGAACCAACGACCTAAGTACTGCCAGGCGGAAGTGCTAACCATTTAGCCACTGTGCTGCCCACTTCTTTATTTATTCATTGAGGGCATCAGGGAACAAATGTGGAATCATTTCCTGCTGTCTTGGGCACCCCAGAGGAACAGGAGAGCCTGGGAAGAACTGCAGGTGCTGGCAGTGAGGAGAGTGTACCCTTTGGAGCCATATAAAAGTAATCGTAAACTGGATCACTTTAATCTGAAAGCCCTTCGCTGGCTCTAAAAATCAATAGGAAGCTCATGGCTGCTGCTGATTGCTTTAATCCCTTATATACTGCAGTTTATAAACATACATTGGTAGAGTAAATGGTAAAAGGTGAAGCATTTCTGATAAATGATACAGTTGCTGTATAGTATGACAGGTCAGAAATGTATTCATGGAACCATGTAAAGTTACTGACAGGTCCACTTTAAACTTTCACTCCGCTTGATACAGTCACTAGAGGGAGCTCTTACAAAGATATATATGAAACATAACCAGGCAAATATGGATCAGAAGTGTAAGTCCCATCAGGAACTGATCTCTAGGTAAACATTATAATGTGACTCACTGAAAACACATCACCGTTCCCTTTTCAATACAAATCCCCATAGAAGAATTTAAATTTTTCCCAATGTCCTCTTACTTACTCATATTGGCAGATATAGATGAATTTCATCAGGATCAGCTCCTGCATGTGTTCATGGAAAATATCGTCCAGTGTCCTCCCCAAGTCATCTCGCAGCCACGTGCGAAATTCCTGCACCAAAAAAAGAAAATAAACACAAGATCAGAAATACGTCAATGTACGGGGATGGTAGGAGGCTGCTGATCGACCAATCACAGGTCATCCCTTACCTCCTGCCGCCCTCCGGACATCCGGTGGTAATCTGTCTGAAGGCATTTGTACAGAACTCATCCTTCTTCACCATCTGTAACGGCAAAGGGAGTGGTCAGTAGCGGCAAGAACGCAAGTAATACATTAGCAGGAAGATGATCATTATTATATTGTGATGTTCCTGATATTATGAAATAATTATGATGTTTATTTTTTTTATAATTCTTTTATTTTAATATTGTTTTAACAATTTACAGATATGGGTTCAAAAACACATAACAGTGTCGTATATTAGGAAAAAACCATGTCATGAAAATGTCCTCAATAGTCTAAGCAACACTGAGATAACCTAATTGCAATTAACAATAGAATACTGAAGAGTAAGCTGAAGACATAAAAGAGTTTACATTGATCTTTAAGGCGGAGAAATTAGGGATGGCAATGACCAGGGCCAAACTCTGGGTTACCCAAGATGGGAATCAGGGGAGGGTTGTGGAGAGACCGGAGAGACATGGAACGTTGCCCTTGACACCTGTAGAGTGCTGCCTAGGGTATGGTGTACAGAGAGTTTCCGACCCTGGGTAATGGAGAGGAAATCCAGGGCCAACTTCTGGCAGTACGCCACCCCCCAAGTCCTCCATTTCCATGTCAAACCAGTGTTTGCCCCCCCCCCCCCATGACAGTGCCAGTCCACCAATCTGGTAAGATGAGTTGCCTTATAGTAGGCTCAAATATTGATCACTGTAACGGGATCTAGGAAAAACATAGACTCTTACAGTACTCTGATCCCAGATATGGTATGAATGCAACATACTGTATATCAAGTTGTAAGCATAAAAAACAGTATGAAAGGTGATTCCAGGAGCAGGGGAGAAGGGTAAAAAGCAATAACAGCAGGCCGGAGCTCCCCGAGAAGAGAGGGGGGAGTCCCTCTCCCAGGAAAGATGCTGAGAGGCGTGGGAGTGGAGTCACTGGGTTGTAGCTATCTCACTGAGGTAGTGAAATAGTGCCAGGGTCTCCAAGTTTCAGTAAACACTTCCGCCATATTGTGCAGTGTGGCCGTAAGGTCTTCCATGTCCCTGCATGTGACACGTGTGTCTCCCCATGCACTTTATTATAATATCTGACGATAATACACCATGAGTTCAATGTTCAATGACTTTAGTAAAAACCATACAGCTTTTCTCGGCAGGTTGATATCTCTCCAGCGGAGAGGAATTCATGCTTTAGCAGCATTCAAAAGTTGTCAATGGTGAGGGAGTGCTTGTATTTTTTAGTAGGTGTCTCTGTCAAGTGCAACAGGCAAGGTCATTGCTTAGGTCAACATCAGTGAGTTGCATAATGCAACACGCAGCGCACTGCTTGCCTGGAAGGGCTAATTAGTGGGCACTGCCAGAAGATGTGAACCATGGATCTCTCACCCACCCCACAGTGCCAGCAGGAGCCTGATATCGGATGGGAAATGCGGTGGAGTATGGTGGGGACCTTATACCACCTGGTGAGTATTCTGTAGCTGGTTTCCTGAACCCTCGAGGAAATAGAGGATTTGTGGGAGCAATAGAGAATTTTCTCCCTTTGCGGCGTCATGAGTTGTAGATCTAGGTCTGCCTCCCATTTGGCCAGAAATGGTGGGACATAGTCGGCTCCCGGGTGTTGTCTTTCTAACTAAATATATATATATTTATAATATCCCTACACTGGGTGGATCAGGGACACATATATCTTGGAGAGGGAGTGGCAAATTTTATTCCCCCCCTATGACAGATGGACTCAAAACTTGTAAGGGGTCTGGAGATGCCTGGAGTGAGAGAGCAGCAGTGGAGAAAGAAACACAACTGAAGTCCTCCCCAAAAGTCCAAGAGAGAGTCAGCAAGTTGAGAAAGGTCCGTGAGTGTGGTTGGAAGCTTTATGGCGCAGAAATTAGGGATGGCAAAGACCAGGGCCAAACTCTGGGCTACCCAAGATGGGAATCATAGGGGATGGCTGTGGAGAGACCGGAGAGGCACAGAACGTTCCCCTTGAGACCTGTATAGTGCTGTCTAGGGTAGGGTGTGCACAGAGTTCCCTGGGTAATGGAGAGGAAATCCAGGGCATACTCATGGCAGTACCCCCAAGTCCTCCATTTCCATGTCAACCCAGTGCTTGGCCCCCCCCATGACAGTGCCAGTCCACCAATTTGGTAAGATGAGTTGCCTTATAGTAGGCTCAAATATCCAGAAGGTCAACTCCCCCAGACATCTTAGGTAGGGTCAGGAGGTGTAGAGCTAAACAGGGTTTCCCTTGTGACCAGACAATGTTCCGAAAGAGGGAACTGAGTCTGTGGAAAAATGTGGGGGGGGGGGGGGGGGGGGGGGGGTATCGGAACGGCTTATAGAAGATAGAGGACTCTGGGGGGTAACGCCATCTTAAGAGCGGTGCGTCATCCAAACCACGTCAATGTTAACGAGTGCCAGTGTAAGAGGTCTTCCTTAATTTTAAGAAGAAGCAGTTCAAAGTTGGCTCCACACAATTTAGAGGGGTCAGGGGTGATGTTCGTGCCCAGGTACCTAATGGCTTCTGCAGCCCATCTGCAGGGAAAGGATGGTTTAAGGCACCGGATAGTGGTCACGTCCGCAGAGATGTTAAGGGTGGAAGAATTTAAAAAGTTGACCTTGAAGTTGGATAGAGCTGTACGTCCGCAGTACCCATAAAATATTGGGCAAAGATGTAAGTGGATTCATGACAAAGAATATCGGGTCGTCCGCCAAAGCTGCAACTTTGTGGCATCCCGAGGATTTACAAAATCCGGTAATATTAGGATCTGTGCGGATTGTGCACAGGAAGGGTTCCAGTGTTAAGATAAAGATGAGAGGCGTCCCATTCGAAATGGGAAAGAAGTCTGACCTGGTCTGTCAAATCAATGGGCTGTCAAAGCACACTGCACAGAAACAAATGCATTCCCGTGCAGGGGCGGACTGACCATTTGGAAACTCGCCCGAGGGCCCGGGGTCAGTAGGGGGCCCCATGAGATGCCCCTGACACCTTTTTCATAGGCTTTTTTGAGTTTGGGCAAGGACACAGGGGCCCCATGAGTTGTCAGTGGTGTATTTAGGTTTTGTGCTGCCCTAGGCAACACAAAATTTGTCGTCCCCCCCACACTGGCAGAGAGCCTGAAATTGATCAACAACACCCCTGCCCCCACACCCAAGAGAGCCTTCCACTACCATCACCCCCATATTCCAGCCACTCCCCTCCAAGCAAGAGACAGAAAGACACTCACATTCACAGCTCTGGACATCCCCAGGAATGAGAGTCAAGAAGCCTGCAACCTCTCTCAGATCCTACCTGGTCTCCAAGCTGCATGTGTCCCTTCTTCCATCCCCTCTTCCTGGGGGGTGTTGCTGCCCCCCTGAAAAATTCCACCCTAGGCAAATGCCTTGTTTGCCTTGTGGTAAATACACCCTTGACTATATAAAGACTGTGGTGGTATGGTACTGGTACTTTTCCTTGCACACAGACAATGTCCCATCTGATGGTGTGGAGTGCTCTCATCCTATTTTACCAATCTGTGACAGGAGAAGCAGTAGACTGATGAACTCTTATGTCACTCTGCTCTCTCCTCCTATCAGCATGCTCCTTGTTAGCACATGAACACTGTAGCAAAACAGATTGGCTTCTTGAGCTGCTTCTCCTCACAGTCTGACCTCTGCACAAGGCTAATACCAGGTCAACTCTTCGTTCTTGCATTATGAAAAAAAAAATTAATTTAATGATGTACAGTATTATTGTATACCAAAATTTACAGGACGAAAAAAAAAAATCTCCAGTTTCTTACTTGTATCTGCCCATTGTGGGGCCCCTTGGGGCCGTACATGCACTCCACAGTGGCAGTTTTCTTCTCCATTAGGTGGATCCGGAATACGGGTTTCAGCCTCATGGGTTCGTCCACGTGTGGATCGTGAGGAGGTAGGTACATCCAGCCGATGATGAAGAATCCATCCACCTGCAAGACAAAGCCGTGGTTACACAGTATCCCCAACCTCAGAGCCATCAGTGAGGGGTGTTGGGGATGCAATGGCATGTACTATATACAGTATTGTGTGTTAATATAACTTGACCAGTAGATGGCACTGTACACTAAGGTTACCAGTTGTGCATATCTGTAAACTTGTTGGTTCTTTCTCTCTCTTCTCTCTCTCTTCATAACCAAGATGTCTGCTGTTACAGGCTGCTGAAATGTTTTGTATGTTTGCAACTTAAGCCATACAAGTAAACCAAGTTCTGCCTCATCACAAGCTACTAGTGTCTTCTCTAACACAAAACCAACAAGGGGGTCACAGGAACAATGAGCTATATGTTGAAATCCATGCCTGGTAATTAGCTATAGTAACTGCCACCCAGATGCATATAATAAATCAAAAGAAACGCATAAAATGAATTCTGATGAGAGTTTTGGGCCACTAGGATAAATTCTTTCCCCCTGGGAAGATGCAAATATATATATTGGAACCCAGCGTATAAGTCCACCATAAAATAATGAGTCCTCTTTCACGGTCATATAGGACTGTTTGTGCTTAAGATTGTCCATAGATTTTCACCACATGACAAAGCCAATGAAGTATTTCAGTTCATACGTGTTTTAATAAACGTGTCAACTCCTCTTCCTCTTTACTTAGAATACAAAAACCGCATATAGTGCATGATCGCATTAAACTCCTTAAAGTGGAGTTCCACCTGAAACAAATAAATAAAGTCAGCAGCTACAAAATCTGTAGCTGCTGACTTTTAAAATACAGCCATTTACCTGTCCTCTCGGTCCCGCGTTGTCCTCACCACGGTTGGTTTCACCGGCCGTCTTCTCTCCCCGGCTCCGGCATCTTCAGTGTGGGCACCCGGATGTGACAGCTGGCGGCTTCACAGCTGGGTGCCCACTGCGCATGTGCGAGTAACACTGCGCTTTGTGAATGGCCCCGTAGTCTTCTGGGACCTGTCACGTGTCCTAGAAGACTACAGGGAGGGAGGACAACTTCAGCTTCCGATCGTTTAGGCGATCTCAGCGGAAGTGGGAGCGGGTACCTGTCAAATTCGGGTATCTGCTCCCCCCCCCCCAGCTCCCCAAAGGTGCCAATCCTTAATGGGGAGCGGGGGACAATGACTTAAAGCGGAACTTCCTCTTTTGGGTGGAGCTCTGGTTTACTGAGCTGCCATCATATTGGCTCACCATTTAAAACTGAAATTCCCATTTTGGGGGAAACCTGCCTAAAAAAGGGAGGAACTTATTTTTGGTAAATTTGGCCTCTGTCTGTTGAACTCAACCCTAGATTTAAAGCACCACACACTGGTTTTATTTCCTCCAAAAGCAGACCCTCTCCCTCATTGTTCACGTTCAGCGCGACCGTTCTCCATATCCCCAGAACGGTAGCGGGTTAGGAGCTGCCATAAAGTATTTAGTGCAAATAATTAATGTTCCATGATAAGTCGTACCCCATGTTTTCCAATGATAACCATACATATATGTGCAACTTAAAGTTGCTGCATCATCATACTTTGGTCTGACTTGCGTGCTACTTGGGGCCCATAGATGTCATTGTTAACCCTCAAAAGTTGCATGAAAGTCATAACTGAATGTTTTACATGCAACAGTAGGTCCAACTTTGCAGAGGGACAAGTCACATGCAAGTCGCACCCATCCAAAGTGGCATCAAAGTTGCACTCCAAAGTCGTGCGACTCTGGAGTCCTAAATATACACTTTTGTTATAGTAATCCCTGGTGATCCTGCCATGAAGGTCCCTGCTCAGGCACTTCCTGTTATAGGGTGACAACGCTCAGTCCGTCTCCACTTCTCTCCTACGTTGTCACCTGTCACATGGGCTTCTGATGGAAGCTACAAGTGGCTGTTTCATCACACATTTACTCTGTTATCACCATCAGGATAACCGCCCTGAGAAATGCAATGCAACCATTGCCGGGGTGAATGTAGACAGAAGTGGCTGCAGAGAGGCTACAGAAAATCAGCACTACTGATATGCAACAAAGGATGAAAAAAGGTGAAAAGATTATTTTATTTACAAAATATGGACACCGGATGGCTCCACCCCTTAGTTATTTAAATGCGGTCAGACAACGGGAGTCTTCGTTGGGACCAAAGGTTGTTTTTTTTTTCTCTTTTTTTGGGTTGGCGGTGGTAGTGGGCATTGTGATTGACGATGGATGTACACCAAACTGATTTTTTTAAATAAATGACTTGTCAAAAACTTGTGTTTTGTTTTTTTACTTTTTACTTTTTTGGTAACGAAAGTAGAGGTACTATGTACCCAGTACTCATTCACAAGGGGGGGGGGGGGAAGGCTGGGATCTGGGGGCTCCCTTGTTAAAGGGGGCTTCCAGATTCCAATAAGCCCCCAGCCCATAGACCCCCACAACTACCAGCCAGGGCTGTGGGGAAAGAGGCCCTTGTCCTCATCGACATGGCAACAAGGTGCTTTGGGGGGGAAACCCCCTGCCCCAAAGCATCCCCCCCTATATGTTGAGGGCATGTGGCCTGGCATGGCTATGCCCCCACCAGTCTATCATAAAACATCGCTGCCAGACTCATCCACCTCACGAACCGTTCCGTATCCGCCATCCCCCTCCGCCAATCCCTTCACTGGCTCCCAGTTCCCCAACGGACAAAATTCAAAACATTAACAACACATATAAAGCCTTCCACAACTCTGCCCCAACTTACATCACCGATCTTATCTCTAAATATCACCCAAACCGTGCTCTCCGCTCCTCGCAAGACCTCTTACCTCTAGCTCCCTCATCTTCGCTTCCCATGCTCCTCTCCAAGACTTCTCCAGGGCGTCACCCATCCTCTGGAACTCCCTACCCCAATCTATCAGACTCTCACCTACTCTACTTGCCTTTAGGCAATCACTGAAAACCTCTCTCTTCAGGGAAGCCTATCCTGCCCTCAGCTAATTCTGGAATCCTCTACTCTTCCAACCACTCCATCCCCCACACTTACTACCTACTGTACCATTCACCCCTCCCTCCTAGATTGTAAGCTCCAAGGATCAGGCCCTTAAATCCCTCTTGTATTGAACTGTAACATTGCTGTATTGTCTCCCACTATAATGTAAAGCGCTGAGCAAACCGTTGGCGCTATATAAATCCTGAATAATAATAATATATAAATCCTGAATAATAATAATAATAATATATAAATCCTGTATAATAATAATAATAATAATATATAAATCCTGTATAATAATAATAATAATAAATATATAAATCCTGTATAATAATAATATATAAATCCTGTATAATAATAATAATATATAAATCCTGTATAATAATAATATATAAATCCTGTATAATAATAATAATAATAAATATATAAATCCTGTATAATAATAATATATAAATCCTGTATAATAATAATAATATATAAATCCTGTATAATAATAATAATAATAATAATATATAAATCCTGTATAATAATAATAATAATAAATCCTGTATAATAATAATATATAAATCCTGTATAATAATAATAATATATAAATCCTGTATATAATAATAATAATAATATATAAATCCTTTATAATAATATATAAATCCTGTATAATAATAATAATAATAATAATATATAAATCCTGTATAATAATAATAATGAGCGAGCATTTCTGGCTTGCCAGGCTGCATGCACAGATAAGGGTCTTGGGGGGACCCCACGCCATTTTTTTAAAAAACTTTAATTTAATGGTCTACGTGTGCATGGACACACAGGATAATATGGAGGGCCGTTTGGAAGTTTTAAAAAGAAAAAAAAAAAAAAAGCCCAACGCCCCTAAAAGTGGCTGCAAAAATGGGTGAGAGACCTAAGGTTGGTATCTACTTTAGTCCAGGTACACACCAATGCAGTGCGAGGAAGCGCATGAGATTCACACAGGAATCGCACTGAATTCCTGTTCAAACCACATGCGATTGTGTGTGGTGCAATTTGAGCCCATTCATTTTGTATGGCTTAAATTGCACCACATCAGCATGTGCAGGAACCTTTTTTTTGCCACTCTGAAATCAGATTGCATGGGGATTCACACCTATGCGATCCGATTCAGGCAATTGCACTGCATATTGCGTGTTTTTGGGATTTCATTTTTTTTTTTTTTAACATTTTCACCCGCAGCAGATTGCATGAACACTGTGCGATAGTGATGAGGTGCGGGGAAACACACAGGGATTGCAGCGAATCCCACACTGCATCAGTTTTAACAAAAAATTTTAAGCTGAAGTTTTCTCTGCTTACATTTTGATTCCCCTGGCTCCCCCTCCCCCTTCATCAGCTTGCTAATGATATGACAATAATCTGTATTTTAGATCTAGAAATGTCATCACTGGGTCTCCGTGCTTCTCTATGCAATGCAGGCATATCACAACTGGTGGAAAGGTCTAGCATGGGGCTGTACATAGCTTCCTGAAAACATCACAGCACTCTGCCTCAGTATTCCTTTCAAAAGCCTCCAGTCCTGATGCAAGCAGTGGGCTGAAGAGGTATACAAAAATCAAAAATGCTTTGATGGGTGGGTGCCAGTCTGGTGGAGTTGGAATTCCTAGGCAGGTTGTATGTACATGCAGAATACCTATATGGGATGTTGAGCCTCCATGATTGAAAGAATTGATATCCAATGAATGAAAAGGGCGGTCCAGGGAAAGGCTGGGGAGGAAGGGCCTAGATCAGGGGTCTCCAAACGTTTTAAACAAAAGGTCCAGTTTACGGTCCTTCAGGCTTTAGGGTGGCCAGACTGTGGCCAGTGTGAGTAGACAACGTCCCAGCATCATTGACAGTGCCCCATCATTGGTTTTAACAGGAGGAATAGTGCCCCATGGTTGGTATCAATAACAGGAGGAATAGTGCCCCATGGTTGGTATCAATAGCAGGAGGAAATAGTGCCCCATGGTTGGTATCAATAGCAGGAGGAATAGCGCCCCCATGGTTGGTATCAATGACAGGAGGAATAGTGCCCCATGGTTGGTATCAATAACAGGAGGAATAGTGCCCCATGGTTGGTATCAATAGCAGGAGGAATAGTGCCCCCATGGTTGGTATCAATAGCAGGAGGAATAGCGCCCCCATGGTTGGTATCAATGACAGGAGGAATAGTGCCCCATGGTTGGTATCAATAGCAGGAGGAATAGCGCCCCATGGTTGGTATCAATAACAGGAAGAATAGTGCCCCCATGGTTGGTATCAATAGTAGGAGGAATAGTGCCCCCATGGTTGGTATCAATAACAGGAGGAATAGCGCCCCATGGTTGGTATCAATAGCAGGAGGAATAGTGCCCCCATGGTTGGTATCAATAGCAGGAGGAATAGTGCCCCCATGGTTGGTATCAATAACAGGAGGAATAGTGCCCCATGGTTGGTATCAATAACAGGAGGAATAGTGCCCCCATGGTTGGTATCAATGACAGGAGGAATAGTGCCCCCATGGTTGGTATCAATAACAGGAAGAATAGTGCCCCATGGTTGGTATCAATAGCAGGAGGAATAGCGCCCCATGGTTGGTATCAATAGCAGGAGGAATAGTGCCCCCATGGTTGCTATCAATAGCAGGAGGAATAGTGCCCCCATGGTTGGTATCAATAACAGGAGGAATAGTGCCCCCATGGTTGGTATCAATAACAGGAGGAATAGTGCCCCCATGGTTGGTATCAATAACAGGAGGAATAGTGCCCCCATGGTTGGTATCAATAACAGGAGGAATAGTGCCCCATGGTTGGTATCAATAGCTGGAGGAATAGTGCCCCATGGTTGGTATCAATAGCAGGAGGAATAGCGCCCCATGGTTGGTATCAATAACAGGAAGAATAGTGCCCCCATGGTTGGTATCAATAGTAGGAGGAATAGTGCCCCCATGGTTGGTATCAATAACAGGAGGAATAGCGCCCCATGGTTGGTATCAATAGCAGGAGGAATAGTGCCCCCATGGTTGGTATCAATAACAGGAGGAATAGTGCCCCCATGGTTGGTATCAATAACAGGAGGAATAGTGCCTCCATGGTTGGTATCAATAACAGGAGGAATAGTGCCCCACCGACTGTGTCAGTAAGAGGACTATTGCCCCATTAATGGTGTCAGTGGAAGGAATGATGCCTCATCATTGGTGTCAGCAGGAGGAATGGTGTCCCAAGGGCCGAAAAGAGGCAAGTAAAGGGCCGTATCTGGCCCCAGTTTGGAGACCGCTGGGCTAAATGATGCCGGATGTCCTCCAGCCAGGAAATGAGGCGGAGCTCTATCTGACTTGCTGCAGCTTCTAATGCACATTGTGAGATGCTCACAGTGTGCAGTGAAATCAGAGTAAGCCATTTCAGTCCATTTCAGTCCAGGAGACGAGCCGGTACAACTGTGCGAGACTGAAGGGAATGCCGGAGTTCAGATTTAAATCATGGAGTGAAGTGGGTACTCCAGGGTGACGGATGTGCCGCCATAGAATCTGCTGTTTTGGAAAAGCTGCCATCATGCGACTCAGGCGACTCAGACTTGGCACAGCCCCTCCCCCGGTGATGGCATGGAGCTCGGTGCAGATCTCAGCCCACCAGCATTCGCTGGAATTATTATCATTGCTGGAAGTCAGCAGAAAAACAGCTTTATGAAACGCTGAGACTCGCTTTCCTGACTCGGCACTTCCCTGGAGACATATAGTTAGAGCTGGGGGGGGGGGGGTTATCTGCGGAGCGCAGACACGAATTAGGGACGCCTGATAATAGGAGGTGGAGCAGAGCCAGACTCATAGAACCCGGTGAGGTCACATGTCTGCACCACAAAATATTAATAATGTTCAAAGAGTTACATTGTGACTCCGCTACAAATATTAGCTGGAAAGTTGAATCATTTGGGGTGTGGGGGGGGGGGGGGAGGGGGGGGGGTTTACATACTTTTGTTCATATAGCAAATTTGCAGATGATAGATATTCATCTCTACATCTCAGAGGGGGGGCGCCATCAAGCTGACGTGATTTGCAGATCCCAGGTCCCGTGGTCACCCAAGTCGTGTTTTTGTTGGCAGTCTCAGTGTGGAATATTCGGTTGGCTCTCCCAGTCCAGGTGTTCGATGTCAGTTTCTATCTATAGACCTGATTACCATCACTTCAGTTATAACCGATCCGTCATTTACAGATAGTTCCAAGTCTAGAATGCTGAACGAATGACACGGAGCAAGCCCAAGCCAACCAATCACATTCTCTGTTTCATTTGTTAACTTTTCCTGGAAATATGCATGCTGGGATCTAATCGATTCTTAAAGCCACCACAATAAACACCTTTTTTGCTACATTGTCCAAGCCCTGAGAAGAGGGGAGTTTCAGCCCCTACATAATACAAGCCACCATGAAGGGTTAGATTAGTTGCCTACATGGTTCAAGCTCTGATGAAGGAAGATTTTAGGCCTCTATATTGTCCATGATGTAATAAAGTGGGAATTTTGGCCCCTACATTAGTCAAGCCCTGATGAAGGGGGAATTTTGGCCCCTACATTACCCATGCCCTTATAAAGAGGGGAGTTTTGGCCCCTACATTGTCCAAAGCCCTGATGAAGGGGGAAATGTGGCCCCTACATTGTCCAAGCCCTGATAAATGGGGATCTTTGGCCCCTACATTGTCCAAGTCCTGATGAAGGGAAAGTTTTGGCCCCTACGTTATCCAAAACACTGGTGAATGGGGAGCTTTGCCCCTACATTGTCCAAGCCATGATGAAGGGGGAGTTTTTTGCCCCAATATTATCCAAAGCCCTGGTAAATGGGAGTTTTGCCCCTACATTTTCCAAGCCCTGACGAAGAGGGATTTTTGACCCTTACACTTCCCAAGCCCTGATGAAGGGGGATTTTTAGGCCCATATATTGCCCGAGCTCTTATGAAGGGGAAGTTTTGGCCTCTACATTGTCCAAGCCCAGATGAATGGGGAGTATCAGCTCCTATATTGTCCATGTCCTGATGAAGTGGGGAATTTTGGTCCCTACATTGTCCAAAGCCCTGATGAAGGGGGATTTTTTGGCCCCTACATTGTCCAAAGCTCTGGCGAAGGGTGAATTTTGGCCCCTAAATTATCCAAAGCCTTGGTGAATGGGGAGCTTTGCCCCTACATTGTCCAAGACATGATGAAGGGGGGGGGGGGGAGGGTGGCTCCTACATTACCCAAAGCCCTGGTGAATGGGGTGTTTTGCCCCTACATTTTCCAAGCCCTGATAAAGGGTGATTTTTGACCCTTACATTGCCCAAGCCCTGATGAAGGGTGATTTTTAGGCCCCTATATTGTCTAAGCTCTTATGAAGGGGACGTTTTGGCCCCTACATTGTCCAAGCCAAGATGAATGGGGATTCTTGGCCCTATAATGTCCAAGCCTCGATGAAGGGTGGTTTTGGTCCAAACACTGTTCAAAGCCCTGATAAAGGGAGATTTTTGACCCTTACATTGCCCAAGCCCTGATGAAGGGGGAGATTGACCCCTACATAGAGTAAGCCCTGATAAATGTAGAATCTCAGCCCCTATGTTGTCCAAGCCCCAATAAATAGGGAGTCTTTGTTTCAGCAATGTCCAAGTCCTCGATAAAGATAGGGGTTTGGCCACTACTTTGTTTAAGACCTGATGAAGGAGGTGTTTTGACCTAAAATGCATTGGCCGCCTTTTGCCTTCCTGTCGTCAGGTGATAATAACAATAAAAAAAAAGTTGGACACTGGAGTCGATCTTTTTGTGCTCTTTTTCATTTTCATGTTGACTTCTCAATTTGGGTGACTCCTATCCCTTGGGGGAGCCCAAATTGTGGAGAGCTGCCAAAGCCAAGCCATTGCGCATAACCAATGACTCCTTGTTAAGGGATCTGGGTCCAGCACCTCACGCCTATTTCACTTTAGAGAGAGTTCCGAAGCTGGGGAGGAAAGAGCTTCTGGTGTCACAAGACCAGCATAGCAGGAGGTCTGCAGTAGAAGCACGGTCCTATCAGTTATACAGTTTATGGAGGGAATCCAAGGACGAGGAGGACGCTGGATCAGGGGCGGACTGACAACTCATGGGATCATGAGGCCGTGTCCATGCCCAAACTCAAAAAAGCCTATGGAAAAGGTACCAGGGGCATCTCATGGGGGCCCCCTACTGACCCCGGGCCCTCGGGCGGTGCCTGAGTTTCCAAATGGTCAGTCCAACCCTGCGCTGGATATTATTTACAGATGATGGTCCTCATTTACCAGATGCGTTATTAGATTGATGCCTCCAATCAACAGTAACCCCCCCACCCCCCAAAGCTTTCTGTTGTTTATTCTTGAATACATTGTAAATCGGTACAGCACATGACAGCACTATAACACATTTTAATCACAGGAATTATTTTTTTTTTTCCAGATCTTTGCCCCTCCCCCATTACTCACCACCACATTGAGAAGTCCTCCATACGGGCCGAGGTCGGGCTGCCACAAGCCTAAAATGTCCCGATATTGGTGGAGCACTGAATTAAAAAAATACAAATGAACAATGGTAACATCACCGAACATTTCCTCATCGCAACATTACAGCCGTGCTGAGTTAGATCTGCTCCGTAAAACACTGCACGCGTCCGAACTGTCCAACTCCGCCCACTCCAAGGCCACACACACTGCAGGACAGGAAAGGAAAGTCCCTGCAAATAAAGTGTATCTAATCCCGAAAACAGAAATTGTAATACACTGCAACTTACCCAATCCATGTGGCGGCTGCATTCGTTTTCTTTTTTCATGCTTTATCCCCCCCTTATTTTCAACTGCTAATCCTGCCAGTAACACACCTCCTGTCCTAGGGTGACAACACTCACTCACTTTAGGAGTAGTGTTGTCACTCTAGCACAGAACTACAGAGCATCCTCCTCTCTTCCATAGCATTGGGGGAGGTGCTTTGCAGTACACAGAGATAGCTGAGATTGATGTAACTGATAAGAATGCAGCACAGGAAGTTATCAGAGCACAAGGTTTCTGCAGGATCAACAGGTATTTTTTTTTTGCCCTTATCACAGATATATAATAATGCACTTTCAATAGTATATTTACAGGACCAAACAAGATAAGGCCATTGTCAGGGTTTACATACACTTTCATTTGCCAGTTGAAAAAAAAAAAGGGATCATATTAAAAGAAAAAAAAAGTTAATAAAAGCAGAGGTCTCTAGTGCAGATATATTCACATACATGAAAGCTGACCAAGCATCTATTAAGTAGTGATATCAAGAACAGGTCATGTGACAGAAATGACAGCCAGATACAGGTTACCACAGCATGGACCAATGAGAAGTCCAGATTGGGTCACATGGCTGGACCTGAAAGATATCCATTCAGTGAATGCACCCGAGACCTTCGCTTTCACTAGGAGGAGGGCAAACATTGATAGAGCCCCTACCAATATGTATTTGCAGAGTTTGAAAGAAGAGGCAATCATTTGCTATTGATTATATTACAATGCCTTGAAAAAGTATTCATACCCCTTGACATTTTCCATATTTTGTCATGTTATAACCAAAACCGTCAATGTATTTATTGGGATTTTATGTGATAGACCAACACAAAGCGGCACATAATTGAGAAGTGGAAGGAAAATGAGAAATGGTTTTCAAATTTTTTTTACAAATAAATCTGTGAAAAGTGTGGGGTGCATTTGTATTCAGCCCCCGGAGTCAATACTTTGTAGGACCCCCTTTGGCTGCAATTCCAGCTGCAAGTCTTTTTGGGGACGTCTCTACCAGCTTTGCACATCTAGAGAAGGACATTTCTTCCCATTCTTCTTTGCAGAATCGCTCAAGCTCTATTAGATTGGATGGAGGGGCGTCTGGGAACAGCACATTTCAAGTCTTACCACAGATTCTCCATTGGATTTCGGTCTGGACTGTGACTGGGCCATTCTAACACATGAATATGCTTTGACCTAAACCATTCCATTGTAGCTCTGGCTGGATGTTTCGGGTCGTTGTCCTGCTGGAAGGTGAACCTCCACTACAGCCTCAAGTCCTTTGCAGACTCTAACAGGTTTTCTTCTAAGATTGCCCTGTATTTGGCTCCATCCATCTTCCCATCAACTCTGACCAGCTTCCCTGTCCCTGCTGAAGAAACGTATCCCCACAACATGATGCAGCCACCACCATGTTTCACGGTGGGGATGGTGTGTTCAGGGTGATGTGCTGTGTTCGTTTTTCTCCACACATAGCACTTTGCTTTTAGGCCAAAAAGTTAAAATTTGGTCTCCTCTGACCAGAGCCCCTTCTTCCACTTTTGCTGTGTCCCCCACATGGCTTCTCACAAACTGCAAAATGGGACTTCTTATGGCTTTCTTTCAACAATGGCTTTCTTCTTGCCACTCTTCCATAAAGGCCAGATTTGTGGAGTGCACGACTAATAGTTGTCCTTTTGACAGATTTTCCCACCTGAGCTGTGGATCTCTGCAGCTCCTCCAGAGTTCCCATGCGGGCTCTTGGCTGCTTCTCTGATGAATGCTCTCCTTGCCCGGCCTGTCAGTTTAGGTGGACGGCCATGTCTTGGTAAGTTTGCAGTTGTGCCGTACTCTATTTTCAGATGATGGATTGAACAGTGCTTCGGGAGATGTTCAAAGCTTGGGATATTTTTTATAACCTAACCCTGCTTTAAACTTCTCCACAACTTTATCCCTGACCTGTCTGGTGTGTTCCTTTGCCTTCATGATGCTGTTTGTTCACTAATGTTCTATAACAAACCTCTGAGGGCTTCACAGAACAGCTGTATTTATACTGAGATTAAATTGCACACTGGTGGACTCTATCTACTAATTAGGTGACTTTTGAAGGCAATTGGTTCCACTAGATTTTAGTTAGGGGTATCAGAGTAAAGGGGGCTGAATACAAATGCATGCCACACTTTTCAGATATTTGTAAAAAAAAAAATGTGAAAACCATTTATCATATTCCTTTCACTTCACAATTATGTGCCACTTTGTGTTGGTCTATCACATAAAATACATTTACATTTTTGGTTGTCCCAAAAGGATTTTGGCTTCCACAGGTAAGTTTTGGCAAACTCCAATCTGGCTTTTTAATGCTTCTATGTGAGCAATGGGGTCCTCCTGGGTCTCCTACCATAGCGTCCCTTTTCATTCCGATGGTGATGAAATGTGCGAGTGGATACGGTTGTACCCTGTGCCTCAGCTTGAATTTGTCTGGAAGTTTATAGAGGTTCTTTATCCACCATTCAAACAATCCATCGTTGCAATCTTTGATCAATTTTTCTCTTTTCTCCACGACCAAAAAATTTTGAAAACCATTTCTCATTTTCCTTCCACTTCACAATTATGTGCCACTTTGTGTTGGTCTATCACATAAAATCCCAATAAAATATATTTACGGTTTTGGTTGTAACTGGACAAAATGTGGAAAATTTCAAGTGGTATGAATACTTTTCCAAGGCACTGTATGCTATAAATTATTTGGAAATGAAAGAAACGTAGGAGGGGATGAGTTGAACAGCATCAGGAAAATGAAGCTTGTCGCATATATTAATAATTAGCGGTCAACAACGGATGAAGCTGCACATGCTCACAGTGCCAGTTCCCACCCCCCACCCCGAATCCTGGTGTGAAGAAGAGGACAGGAAGCCAATATGAAGGCAGATTCATGTATTTATTTCAATATATATATAATAATTTTTTTTTTTTTTTTTGTTTCTTGTTCTTATATTTGTATATACACCATACACACACACCACACACACACACAACCACAACACACAACACCAACATAAATAAAATATACACATATAATATACACATACATATATACATATATATACACACACACACACAAAGTATATATATATATAAATATATATATACACACACAAATATATATATACATATATATATACACACAATGTTTATATATATATAAACACAACATAAATATATATATATTTATATGTTTATGTGTGTGTGTGTATATATATATATATATATATATATATTATATATATATATATATATAAAAAAAATTTTTTTTTTTGCTTTTATATTTTTATATGATAAAACAAATATAATAATATATAAAAAACACAATATATATAATACACAAAATACATACACACATTTATATGACATATGTTAAGGTATATGTAATTCGCATTCTTTTATAACTGCCTGAAATTTACATATGAATGACGATCATGAGTGTTCTTGTAGTGGACCTATCGGCAGATATATTTCTCATGCTCAGTAATGTGTAATGTGTGAGTGCAACACTAGTAGGTATTTATTATCTCAGAGATCACTGTGCTCCTCCAAACAATGCCTTCACCTGCTTTTCTCTCCAGAAGGAAGGTGCCATCTTTGTTCAGGCATCACCCAGGGTCACAATCATGGAAATGCTGGAGTCTGGGCAATCCTTGGCTGTGTTCACAAATGTCTGACACAGATCAGCCCCTGCTGCAGCCTCTCACCTTGTGCTTTCTATAAAGTTAATATGTACAGTCTGATCACTGGGGGAGGGGAGACTGGGTAAATGCTTTTGCCTGCCTGCAACAGATTGATGACATCATCTCAGCCTAGGAAAAGTCACTGAGTGGAGCTAAAGGACAGCTTATAATGATAAGAAGTGGAGCTTGTCTGAAAAAAAGGATATGTTTGCTGTATAGTGTGACATGGGGACTTGTCCAATAGAGCAGAGAGCATCAAAACTGCTGACGGTGCAACCAGGGGCAGCTTCAAGGCTACAGATAAAAGTACAGAGGGAAGGGTTTATGCCATGTAATCCATCTGAAAGATCCCTACAGCTGTACTTAGTTGTATAATATATAATATAAAGGTATCACAATGTAGGGGCCCCAGAGCTCTCCATCTGCTGGTCTTCCACATGGGACCTGACACAGTGAAAAAAAAAAAATATTTATGTAAATGAAACAATTTGAGTGATTAGGTTCAGGTGACAGCCAATGAGATGTTCCGTCGCCCTTTGGCCCAGCAATGAAAAATATGGCTGCAGAGCCAGAAAAAAGGTGGAAGATCCCAGCATACGCAGTGCAGAAATAAAACAAAATTGGGCGTTTCCTAAAACCGCAAAAAAATAAGCCCTCTCCCACTGATCCACTCAATCCCTCCGGAAGTGAGAATCCCAAACCAGAGAAGTGTAAAATGATTTAAGTGGGCTCCAATGTCATCCGTTTACGAAAGGATTACGAACTCTTCCTAAGCCCGGGTTCACACTGATGCGGTGCGGAATTCGTAGCGTTTTCTGTGCGAATTCCGCAGCGCATCAGAATCGCACCCCGTTCATGCAAACCGCTGCGGGTGTGTATGTTATGTTAACAACACACTGAAAGCGGTCCACAAAACACAGTGCGATGTGCAGAATCGGATCGCAAAGCTGTGAATACCTATGCGATCCAATTCTAGTGCAGACCCAAAAAAGGGTCCTGCACATTTTTGGTGCGGGTGCGGTGCGATTACAGCCATACCAAATGTACAGCTCCAATCGCACTGCACACAAATCACATGTGATCTGCACAGGAATGCGGTTCTTGTTGAATCACGTGGGATTTACCGCACTGTGTATATGTGAACCCGGGCTCAGCGCCTCAGTATATGCAGACAAATCAAGCAAGTTAGCAAGTAAAACCCGTCTCATTTTTCCTTTCTCTTGCTGTCCTTGGAGAGAGGTGCTGGAATCAGGGGGTCCTATTGAAGAATTTGCCTTCTACTGCCTGGTGGATGTGCATGCTGCTTGGGCTGCAGCCTCTCTTCTCCTCTCATTTGTACATACTACCCACACACTTCACTGAAGACATGTCCTGTATAAAGGCGATTATTTTACCTGGTCAGCCAGATACATGGAAATGGTTTCTACCTACAATTGGTTCTACAGTGCATGTCTCCATTGGCAGCTATGGTAGAGAGAGTAGATTGTAAGCTCCTTTGGCTCACAGGGAAGTTTTGTAATTTTACCAAACATGCCCCCTACCAAAAAAATGTTGTCTTAAATGCTGGGTAGTGAGGAGGTCATTGCTACTCCAATTCTCCAGGGATGAGCTGGTTCAAAATCAGCAGGGGTGGGCATATGTGTGATCTGCCTATCAGTGTTATCTCTGCCCATGCTTAGACTTACCAGGGGTGGACTGACCATTTGGAAACTTGGCACTGCCCGAGGGCCCGGGGTCAGTAGGAGGCCCCATGAGATGCCCCTGGTACCTTTTTCATAGGCTTTTTTCAGTTTGGGGAAGGACACAAAAAAAAAAAATGATCCCCTATTGCCCGGGGGCCCCATGAGTTGTCAGTCCCCCCCCTGAGCAAACATAAATTTTACTAGCAATTACCGCCATGATCCGACGCATACAATTTTCATGAAATGAAAATTTCATGAAAAACCTTTTTATAGGCTTTTTTTTGGGTGTGCTTTTGCCACAGGGGCCCCATGATCCCCTATTGCCCGGGGGCCCCATGAGTTGTCAGTCCACCCCTGAGACTTACTGTTTTACAGCAGCCTCTGACCTGAGAATAATCCGAGGAACAGAGGGGTGGAGCCTGAGGGGATGAAAAAAATTGTTTGGAACATTGTAAAAGATTTTCTGGGCAGGCAGAGATGGTGGAGAGGATGTGTGTTCTGTATGTATTATGTATGTATGTATGTATTAGGCTCAAGTCACACTGCTGCAACCCCAAAGTCACGTGACTTTCAGGTCGACTTTGTATTGCGACTTGCTTGTGGACTTCAGCTGAACTTCAATGTGACTTCAATGCACTTTTCGTGCTACTTTGGCTTAAAAAAAACCCTGAAGTTGCAAAGATACGACTATCTTGCGACTTTTGTGATTTTAACATTGCAAGTCTATGACACTCATGTCATAAGTAGTGCAGGAACTATTTTTTTTGCCGCTGCGACTCAGGGGCGGACTGACCATTTGAGCACTGGCTGAGGACCCAGGGTCAGTAGGGGCCCCAAACCTGTTTTATAGGCTTTTTTGGGTGTGCTTTGAGTGTGGGCAAGGACACAGGGGCCCCATCATCCCCTATTGCCCAGGCCCCATGATTTGTCAGTCTGTCCCTGCTGCGACTTGAGTTACAGCTATTACGATGGCATTGAAATGAATGTGCTTTTACTTGTCTTGTTACTTTCTGTGCCGTAGGTCGCAGCAAGTCGCACCAGAAGTTGCGGAAGTGTGAACCAGGGCTTATGGACAGGTTCAATGTATTACACTGTGATATATTTTATATATATTTTCATATCCTGGATAATATTGTAAAATACAATAAATTTGGCTACAGGTAAGCAGTAGACATGTGCGGTTCGTTTCGTTCCGAAATTGAAATTCATATACATTTTTTGTTATTCGGAAGTATCTGAATTTTTTTTATTACAATAGTAAACGAATTTGAAATAATGAAATTCGGATGCAATTCAAATCAAAAACAAAAAAATGAAAGGAATAGAACATAAAAGAATAGACCAGAATAGATTAGAATAGAAAATGATAGAATAGAAAAACAATAGAACAGAATACAATATAAAAAAGAAAAGATTAGAATAAATTAGAAAAGAATGGAATAGAAAAAAAAAAAAAAGAATAGAATAGAAAACAGAAATAGAATAAAAGAGAAAGACTATACCTGTCTTCCGAAATTTGAATATCAAATAGAATAAATTTGAATTAGAAAAAAAAAATTATATTGGAATAGAATAGAAAAAAAAGAATGCAATAGAATAAAATAAAAAGACTATCTTCCGAAAATTAGAATTTTGAATAAAATAAAGTAGAATTTGAATAGAATAGAAAAAATTCCTAAAGGAAAACGCGTTTTGGCTTACAAATTTTTCGCAATACGAAACGTCCCGGAAAACGCATTCAATTTGTAAACCGAGGTACACCTGTAACTGTCTTACGAAATTTGATTATATTATAAGAGAATAGAATAGACAAGAATAAAATAAAAAAAAAATTTAAATGAACAGAATAAAATAGAAAGAATATAATGGTTTTTTCCAATATTCGAACAGAATAACTCGAATTCCAATTTGAATTTTCCAAATTCGGCTAAATTGAATTCGAATCGAATTCGAAAACGAACAAAACCTACAAAATTAAACAATTTTTACGAAACAAAAGTATTTAAATTTGAATTTTTTTTTTCGTCTAGTAACCAGAAATCTTTGCCGATTGGTTCACTATGCAGTCACCAGCAGGGTAAAGGTTAATAGATGCGACATCACTCCACGCAGTTGCATTTCAGTTGCACCCACAAAATAGCAGCATGTGACAGGTCCACTTTAGCTTTCAGGAGCAGCAGTGGGCCTGCAGTGTGACAACATAGCGCCACGCGTATTTGCACTCACGTTTCACGTAGACTTCTCGGCAGGAGACTCCCGTCACCTCCATCTTGCGCAGGTTTTCCTGCACCCCATATTCTGAAAAAAAAAAAAAAAAAAAGACAGTTATGATCCTTTAGTCTACAGTGAGTATCAATGACTGGTAGCATGCTCCAGAGTGAACTGCCTCCAAGTAGGATCTCAGCCCCGCCCCCTAGAATCCCACAATGCAGCATTCCAGCTTTCTAATAGGCTGCTGAGAAGCCCAGGCTATATTTTGTGGTGCAAGCCGATGCAATGCACTATGGAACCCAATTCACCAAACTGAAAAATACAACATTTTGTACGTTTCCTTTTGCACCAGATTCTAGATTTTTTTTTTTTTTTACACAGCAATATGGTACAAAAGTCATGAATGTTCTTCTATTAATATACTTTATATGTGAACATTTGACCCAGTGTGCTGCCACAGCAGCCTGTTTTCGTATGTGCCTTTGGTATGTTCCCCTGTTCCCCCTCCTGTTTGTTGCTAGTTGGTACAGTCTCTAGTTATACACTCCCTGCTTCCCCTTCAGGAAAATGTTATTCTCCACTACAGAGACGGCTTGGGAATGTCATTGGGGTTTATTCAAGCAGGAGAGTGTGACATCACCTGAACTTCTACACAGAAACCAATCAGCTTCCAGGTTTTATTGCCAACGCTTAACTGAACAAGCTGAGGTTAGAAGCTGATTGGCTGCCATGTACAGCTGCACCAGATTCTGAATGTCAAGAGAAAAAAAAAGCAGAACCAGCGCTCAGGTCTGTAAGCACCCCAGGAACACGGACCAGTCACTCGCTGAGGTGCAGCCCTCTAAAGATTGGGGAATCTTGAGATTTATTTATTTCAGGTACTTATATAGCGCCGTCAGTTTACGCAGCACTTTACATATATATTGTACATTCACATCAGTCCCTAACCCTCAAGGGGCGTACAATCTAAGGTCCCTAACTCACATTCATACATACACATACTAGGGACAATTTAGACAGGAGCCAATTCACCTACCAGCATGTCTTTGGAGTGTGGGAGGAAACCGGAGTACCCGGAGGAAACCCACACAAGCACAGGAGAGAACATGCAAACTCCAGGCAGGTGGTGCTGTGGTGTGTTTTTTATTTATTATTTATTTATGGTACTTATATAGCGCCATCAATTTACGCAGCACTTTACATATATATTATACATTCACATCAGTCCCTAACCCTCAAGGGGTGTACAATCTAAGGTCCCTAACCCTCAAGGGGCGTACAATCTAAGGTCCCTAACTCACATTCATACATACACATACTAGGGACAATTTAGACAGGAGCCAATTCACCTACCAGCATGTCTTTGGAGTGTGGGAGGAAACCGGAGTACCCGGAGGAAACCCACGCAGGCACAGGGACAACATGCAAACTCCAGGCAGGAGGTGCTGTGGTTGGGATTTGAACCAATGACCTTAGTACTGCCAGACGGAAGTGCTAACCATTTAGCCACTGTGAAAAGCAAAAAAAAAAAAAAAAAAAAAAAAAAAAAAAAAAAAAAGGGGAAGCACTCTCCTCGTGCATTACGTGATACAGAGGAATTGATTAAAAATGACAAAAGTGTATACTCACAAACCAAGAGTCACGTAAACAAACAAAAAACCAATGTGATAGTCCCAGCAAATGGTAGTCTTGCGACAGGGTATGCTAACGCATTTCGGGAGACGTACTCCGTTCTTCGGATTCTGAGGGAACCAGTTTTAGTAAAATCTCCCCCATAGTCTTCTCTTCTTACAAGTCAAAAGACCAGATAAACCTCCTCTGTACTGCACTTATCCGAAGCAAAGTAGCGTTGGATTCAACTTCTGCTTCCTATTGCAGAGTTAAGCAGCCTGTGGATTCTGCCAAGTCAGCAAGCGGCCGTAACACCTGCACAGACTGGGCTTTAGGAGACATGCCGTTGCATTTGTCAGCATTTGAAACGAAACACCAGGCTAACGGAGCTGCCTGCACACTTCTGTGCCCTATTGATCAGTTCAGCTGCCTGTGGATTCTGCCAAGTCAATAAGTGGCCGTCGTGTCCACACAGACGAAGAAATGTCTTTGCATATATTGGCATTTGAAACAGAACACCCAGCAAACAGAGACGTGTGCACATTGTTTGTGTCATGAAATGCCAGAAAGTGAACAAAGTCAAGTGATGAACGGAAGGAGAAATTGAATGGAAGGCGATTGCTGGCCTTTGATGCAGCTAAACATGGCAGTTGTCAGGAGTCACGATCAGGGGCGGACTGACAATTCATGGGGCCCCCGGGCAATAGGGGATCATGGGGCCCCTGTGTCCTTGCCCAAACTCAAAAAAGCCTACGAAAACGGTACCAGGGGCATCTCATGGGGCCCCCTACTGACCCCGGGCTCTCAATAGGGGATCATGGGGCCCCTGTGTCCTTGCCCAAACTCAAAAAATGCCTACGAAAACGGTACCAGGGGCATCTCATGGGGCCCCCTACTGACCCCGGGCCCTCAATAGGGGATCATGGGGCCCCTGTGTCCTTGCCCAAACTCAAAAAAGCCTACGAAAACGGTACCAGGGGCATCTCATGGGGCCCCCTACTGACCCCGGGCCCTTGGGCAGTGCCCGAGTTTCCAAATGGTGAGTCCGCCCCTGGTCACGATTAAAAAGTTGTAAAAGGTGACCGAACACCGAACCCCCTCCCCCTTCCCCACATGCCTCCCCTCCCTCACTCCAGCGGCTCCGCCAGTGTTAGGTCACCTTTATGCAGGCCATACACGGGTCGAACTCCGAACGATTTTTTGTTCGAAAATCGAAAACTTTGTTTGCTCGGTAATCCGATGGCGCCATCAAGGATTTCGAAAATCAGCCGACCAAGTCATAAAGTTCACCCCATATAACAGACGAAACTTCTGTTCCTTCCAGGTCACGGCTCATGCGCATATTCTTTTCGGAAAAACGATCCTACGATTTGACCATCGAGTTGAAAATCGGTCGTTTTTCATGAATTTTCCAACATGCCCGATCACCGAAAAGGGGAGGAACCACAAAAATCGGCCGATGCCATTGACCCACTAACAGAGCGAAAATCGACCGATTATTCTTAGGTCCGATTTTCGGATGAAAATGTATGGCCGGCCTCAGGGCCCCTAGAATGCAGAGCATGAAAGCTACGTTCTTGTGCAGCTCCCTGCACCGCATTCTGATCGCACCGGCCTTGAGATTTGCTGCGGGTGTCGGTGCAAAGTTAATGAAACCTCAAACATAGGATGCAAACACAGTGCATTTGCCCGCACCAGGTCACATGGTACAAACCATGCAATCTGATTGGTGTGTATTTAAATTTTTTTTACATGCACTGCTTTTGGTGAGGCGCAGTGCGATTTCAGCCCATTCAAACTGAGTGGGTCTAAATCGCACTGCACATTTATTTATTTCAGGTACTTATATAGCGCCGTCAATTTACACAGCACTTTACATATATATTGTACATTCACATCAGTCCCTAACCCTCGAGGGGCGTACAGTCTAAGGGCCCCAACCCTCGAGGGGCGTACAGTCTAAGGTCCCCAACCCTCGAGGGGCGTACAGTCTAAGGGCCCCAACCCTCGAGGGGCGTACAGTCTAAGGGCCCCAACCCTCGAGGGGCGTACAGTCTAAGGGCCCCAACCCTCGAGGGGCGTCGTCTAAGGCCCCAACCCTCGAGGGGCGTACAGTCTAAGGGCCCCAACCCTCGAGGGGCGTACGTCTAAGGGCCCCAACCCTCGAGGGGCGTACAGTCTAAGGGCCCCAACCCTCGAGGGGCGTACAGTCTAAGGGCCCCAACCCTCGAGGGGCGTACCTAAGGGCCCCAACCCTCGAGGGGCGTACAGTCTAAGGGCCCCAACCCTCGAGGGGCGTACAGTCTAAGGGCCCCAACCCTCGAGGGGCGTACAGTCTAAGGGCCCCAACCCTCGAGGGGCGTACAGTCTAAGGGCCCCAACCCTCGAGGGGCGTACAGTCTAAGTTCGCTAACCCTCCGTACAGTCCCTAACCCTCGAGGGGCGTACAGTCTAAGTTCGCTAACCCTCGAGTACAGTCTAAGGTCCCTAACCCTCGAGGGGCGTACAGTCTAAGGGCCCCAACCCTCGAGGGGCGTACAGTCTAAGTTCGCTAACCCTCGAGGGGCGTACAGTCTAATCTAATCTACATCCATACATACACATACTAGGGCCAGACAGGAGACAATTCACCTACCAGCATAACTGTATGTGAATCGCACAGCGTTTCTGTGCGATTCACATGCGGTTTGTGACGAGAGTCACTTTGGGTGGGGGGCCCATGGAACCCAGCTCACTTTGGAGAGGTGGGGAGACCCCTGTCTCAGCTCCCCATATCCCTCTTATGTGTAAGTCACCCTGTGCTTGTTAGGGGTACAGGGTGATCTGTCCTAATATTGGGTGGGGGTTGTGGATTGTTTGATGTTATGTGGTTGCATCCCATTGTTCTATTGTGTGTCTGGCTTGGGAGCAAACTATTATGGGATGTATGTGTTTTTGTGTATTGGCTTGGGGGGGGGGGGGGTGTCTCCAGCAGCCCTCCCTCCTGATGGGACTGTCTACTGGTGTGTCTCTTGTTACTAAATGTAGATTTGCCCCGCCCTGTGTCATTATGCAGGGAGGGGGGTTGTTCCCTTGATTGTATATATCTTGTATCTGTGTTCAAATAAAGAGTTCCATGTTCAGACAGACTGGTGTCGTCTAGTCTTGTATGGTCGGCTGTGGTGTCGGTTGTCGGTGTTCGGACGGGAAAGCCGTATTCTAATGGAAGTACCCAAGTGCAGTCTGGGGTCGGTTCCGTTACACTGTTCCTAGTGTGAATGGGACCTAAATGATTTCCTGTAAAACATGAAGTAACCCTTTCAGCGCGGGGCTGCCTTGCAACTGCCTATGGCTGAGTACACACTAGCTTTGTCATCAGGCATCAGAGAGGCGTTTGGGAAGCGTTTTTAACGCTTCTCAAATGCCTATGAAAATTCTGCACATGTTAGCACACAGTGCTGTTCGCACGGAATCTTTAGCGTCGCGGCAAAACTGAT